CTGAACTGTAAACCAAGTAATGGTAGCAGGAAAGGAAAGAGAAGAGAATTTAAGTATAATTTAGTAAAGAATATGCTCATGGTCCACCCCACAGCCCTTTCATCTGACCCTGAAATGCAAGTGAATCACATGATGCTTTGGCCTTAGAAGAACCAAGTAAGATACATAATTTTAATGCAAGCCAGGTCAGTCTTCATATATTCCCCCAAATGCAAATACTGCAGCTATTAAAATCATACCTTGGTATCTTGGTTTGCCTGATGAATCAGTTTCTGATGTAGGACTGGAGCTGAAGACAGTTGCATCAACTGTGGGAGACAAAATTACAATACAATTTGCACTAAGTGTGCGTTTTCAGTGTTAGAATTGCAGTATCTCACAGTTAATTTGGCATTTTTTATTGCCTGAAAAGCTCCTCTATGGTACACCTTTGGTGCCAGATTTGTTTTTTCCTTTTAAGGACAGCATTTTGTCTGTGTTGCTAAATAAACCCTTTACTTACCTGCTAATATAAAGACAGTCATAATCAGAAGATGCAGTTCAAGACTGCTGCTGGATTCAATTCATGCAATATATGCAAAGTGCTCTTCAGACCTTTTAAAATCTTTTTGCACTGTACTGACTGTCTAGCTTGGGGTCTGGTTCATGCTCAGAAAATATATAACACTACTATGAGGGCATGCAAACTTCCCCAAAAATAGCAACCAGGACATGGCAAACTGTCTTCAGAAAGTACAGCTCCAGGATTTGAAGGAAACCAAATGCAAATATGCTGATGAATAGAAATGTGCTAAAGCAGTCAAGGCTCATGACATCAACCTTGTGGTAAACAGCCATTGTACCGAACACAATCTTCTTTTGCATACAAACACTCTCCCCGACAGAATTTAGAGCTATTACAATGCAAAGTCATCCAGTATCACAATTCACGTGGCAAATCTGAAGGTATTTGACAAAATAATGCGTTTTTGTTCAAGAAAAGCATTTTGCATGTCTCCTTTTTCCTATCAAGCTCCTAAAAGTGTATTATGCAATATTACTGCTTCATGCTGTTCCTGTTGAATGTGACTCAGGAATTGGCACATTTTGGGTGCCATTTTATTCTTTAAAAAAATTATTTCTGTCAAAAATCATCTTGTGCCTAGTTGCTTGTCACAGATGGAAAAATGCACGTATATACTTGAGAAGAAGAGACAGCTTTGTAATCATTTAATCGAACTTTTATCTTCTGGTCAAATGAAGCAATAAACTGCAGCATCTGTGTGTGAACTTTTGGGAAGACCTCAATGGATGGGACACGCCATAAATTCACAGCAATCATTTTTGTAAATCTAGCATCCAGTTTGCTTTACTGAGCAGCAAGGGTCACAGTAAATTCAGAACATTACGAGAGTTTCAGTGTTACTATAAATTGAGCAAAATTAACATCAGCATCATTTATGACAATATACCGAAACCTGCATATTTTGGCTCAAAAGCACACTTTCCCCTCAGCCCTTCTCTGTACGCCACTTTGAAGAGATTTAGATCTTAACTTGTAGCTTACTCTTAATTTTACAGAGGATTAAGTACCAACTAACCACCATGTGGTTACTACATCGTTTTTTTCTGTCTGAATAATGGGCAGGTTAATCAGGTAGCTGGGTGAATATATACAACATGAAAAAACCATCTTGAGCACTGCCAGTGACTGTCAAGTAATACTTTGACTTGAATTTATGTCCTATGCAAAATGAAACGTTCAGGAAAGGAAGTCCCTTATGTGCTACCTTCACTGATTTAAAGTAGCCACTGAATAGTACTGAAAGCCAACTAAGCATATATCGATTTCTAGGAAGATGGAAGGGCCGATTATACGATCTCATTTACAAGGATGTGTATCAGAAGACAGCTGGAGGAATTCAGTCAGTTTACAGAAGTCACAAGGTGGCACTGGGAGAAATCAGAATCACCCCACACACAGTTCTTCAATACATAGTGCATTGATATAGTTTAGGGAAGGCAAACAAGAGAAAACAAAGGAATTACAGGAAACCTTAATATTCATGTAAAAAAAAGAAATATAAATACGTAATATGCTCACCATAATAATCTGGAGTTGCAGAAGCTGTTGGTGTCTTATATGGTGCTCCTGTCTTCACAAGTGTTGTTGGTCCAGCAGATTTAGCTACAGTAGTGACAAGAGAAGGAGGAGCTTGTGGCAACAAGGCACTGACTATTTTAAAGAGTGAAACAGCTTTTCTAACAGAACTCAGATTTCTGAAAGCTACTTCATGGGACAAGTGGGACCACGAATTAAGGAGGAAAGCATGTATTTTCATTCCAAATATACTGTTTCGTCAATACATATACAACAGTTTCCAGTTGGATTTAGGAAAGTTCCTATTTGTCCTCATCGCCTAAATTACCTTCTCCTTCCTTCTAGGAAGGAAATTCTTTGCTACTTGGAGTTTGTCTTTGAAGGCCTCAATCAGTCAGAACGTGACCTAGCTATAAGGCAGGGAACCATCCTATGCAGGCTGGTAAAGGGACACAAATGACCAAGGTAACATCCCTTCACAAAATATATGACAGAAGAGCTGAAGTCAGCATCTGAAACTTGGATTCTTCCACTCAAGTACAGCTAAGATCCTTTCATTTCCACTCTCAATATAGCATGTATATTAGCAAGGCTAGAGGAAGAATACAGATACTGAGAAACAGAGTTGTTAACTGTGGTGCAGATTAGCAGTTTAACCATCTTTGCAGTCTTTGGAACTTCTACTGAACAACTTTAGATGCACTTCAAACACACATAAGAAACATGCAATAAAGTATAACAACTTCAACATTTATAATGCCACAAGCCCCAATGGAAAAAGGGTTTTTTCTGATCTCTTCTGTAGCAAGCACCATTAGTTTTGACAAAACTGCTTGCTAGAGGCAACATGCGCTCCCGTAATTAAAAATCTATTTTAAAAATGATTTTAGATTACATGACATTGTTTTTAATAGTCCGGTAGTATCAACTAACAATAAAAGTAAGTTTCTAAGATATACACAAACCACAGTAAAGGGTCTTGACGGTTTTCAAAACCGGCGTAGAAACACCAAGAACTACACACACCAAATCTGAAGATACTCTCAAGCAACCACCGCATGACTACTAAGTCTCACTCTTCAAAAGCTGAAAACTACATAATATAGTCATCTTCCCTGCATAGATTACATCTAGGAACATGGTGACTGAACAGGCAGAATTTTGATGAACCAGGTCAAAAGCAAATATGGAGGGTAGGAATAAAAGTGGAAATTTATTAAGATTCTCACTTGAGTCCAGTTTCACAAAAGTTTTAGAACTGAAGACTTATTTCCTTTTTTTTTCCTCCACTCAGGAGACTTCTAATGTCTGCTTATAAACCTTCCCATAATACTCATCTAGTGGATAAGTAAGAAAGATATAAGTAAGAAATTAATCATAGTGTTAACGAGAAATAGAAATAGGACAAAGTTTTATAAAAGTAAAATTCCAAGAGGAACATTGAGGCAAATTTTTCCTGTCAAGGTTGTGGAACAGTCTCTCCAGGGAATTAGTAGAAGCTCAGTTATGATGTTTAAAACTAAGTTGGATAGAACACTAGGAAATACAGAAGGAAAATCTGCAACTGGCCCTACAAGGAAGGATCAGATCATCTAACCAATTTATTCCATCTTGAATATCTAGGAACGTATGGTAACTGCTGATTACCACATAAACTGGCCTCTAGTGCATGGGTGGAAGAAATTTCAAAATGCTTGTAGGTTAATTAGAGACTTAATGGAGAAAATTAACTCCATTACAGCAAAAGAAAATGCATCAGGTCAATTTTTGCTGTGTGCCACAGCTTAAGACTGACCATGCCTTGTATTTCTGCCATAACTATTACTAAGGAAACACCACCAGCCAACAGTAAGCATGGGCACAACATTTCTATCTTGGCTCCGCTCTTGAGTAAATGTGCAGCTTGTTTCAGCCAGCTTTGAGAGTCTTGCTTCTGATCTGCTACACAGAATACTGAAGATTTATTTAGGTCCCAACAGAGCCAGCACAAAGACTAGTCACTAGGATAAGCTTTCTCACAAGGGTGTCTGCAGAAGTAGAGAGGGACCAGCTTTTGTGTAGATGGGCGAAGGAGGGAGAGGACAAAAGGAGCTATGTTCTCCTGCAGGATTCAAACAGAAAGGCGGTTTTTGCTCTCAAGAGTATGCAGAAAAAATTTACAACTCCCTGCCTTAATAGCACACAAGGCCCCGAATGAGACAAGCCAAAAAAGGATACAAGAAATAAAGCAGCCAATAAAGCAGGAATAAAGAGCCAAGACCTCTATACTCCCAGTGGTCTATGGAGATTACTGTGGAGAGAGGAGTATTTCTCATGATGCTAAGCATAATGAGATGATGGTTTCTGACTATCTGGAACAATGCTAACCTGTGGATTCTAATATGCAGACAAAACATATGTAAGGATACTGAGTATTAGCTTCAAGATCACATTAAAATAAAATCAGAAACGTGAAATATTCGGGGTATTCTTTTACTGATACCAAGGAGCAGAAACATTGTAGCACATTAATGAAGCTAAACTGCTCTTTTCACATGCTCAGCTCACTCTACCTCACAGTGCCGTTAGTTTTCTGGATGTTATTAACTCAAGTTATTTGCAGTGGTTAATGGATGTGCCATATATATGGGACAAAGTTCCCTTAAGAAATACCCACAGCTGCTTACGAGATGTGGGTCTTTATTGAAGCATGATATCAGATATCTCCCATCCAACACATACATGAAGTAAAACGCAAATACTATTAGTTAACATGAAATGCTCTTAAGGTAGACCTTCTTAAAGGAAACCTTGGCATGACTTGCATTGTGTTACTTTGCTTTCAGCTATCTTACTGGGGATGATTTTAACATAACCAGGTTAAGAAAGCAAAAGAAAAACAGAATTTGTGAATGAAGAACAAAAGATATAAGGCATGTACATTCCAGAAGATTAGCTTCTGCAGAGATCACATGTGGTTACAGAACCTACAAAACAAAATTCTCCTGTATACAGCTAAGCAGTTCAGTATCCCATACAACCACAACATCATATATGTACGCTGAAGAGGCTGAGATACCTGGACTCCCTGGTTTACCCGTCACTGTGTTTGGAGGCAGAGGTTTTCTTCGCATTTGTGTGGGCTTGACAGGAGGTACAGGAGGACGGTGAGGGCCAGGTGATATAGTTACTGAACGATATCACAAAAAAGTGGTGTTAATTATTTAACCTCAAACGACATAAAATCAGAAACCCACTACAAGCTATATTTCGACTTCTCAAACAATGATTCATATCTGATTTAATACTAAAAGCAGAGAGGTGAAGTAAGAAGCTCAAATGAGTTGTGTTTTTTGCCTTAAAGTTCTTTGGGAAACGTGCACTATTGAGCTTTAAACCAACCTTAAGTTGAAAAAAAAGTAGCTTCTTTAGGATGTCTTACAGGTGCTCCCTCTTGTCAACTTAAATTTTTGACAGTCCTCCCACAGTAAACACCACCTCAGTGTATTTCGAAACATTTTCAGTGTCCTACTCACAACATTCACAATCTTTTTTACTTTCTAACTGGAAAAAAATAGTCACTCTCAGCTCGAAGCAAAAGATCTAGCAAAAGGGAAATTACAGTTAGAGATATGTTATCCTATACCACTCAAAACTGAAAAACAAAAAAGTCACTGTCAGTTTATATGCGGACATGGCTAGAAAGAGTTATCGTGCAGAAACTCCTCAAGCAACTGGCCAGGCTCTTTTAACGCACAGCTCCAGCTAACTTCTATTAAAGTTTATCTGGTAATGTAATTTGACTGAGAAGTCTGAAAGGGAAGCCTAAGTCAGTTAATTCATACTTACAGAACCTTTTCCTTTACTTTCCAGGCAATTACAAAGGATTATATTATGCCAAGGAAATGCAAAGGAAAAGATTTTTCTTCCACTATTCATCTTTGCACTTCTCTCCTTTGAAAAAAATAGGAGACATATATAACATGTTTACATAATAAAAGACTGTTTCTACTTAACAGGAAAAAATCTTCAAGGATAATATAATTCTTATAACTCTGCTAGTGTACAGAGAGTACTTCAAACCCTATTTCTCAGACCCTAGTTAATGTTGTAAATAGAGTGACTGTGACCAAGAAGGGAGCAGATTCAAAGACTCATTTGGGAAAGTCTTTTCAGAAATACTTACAACATATAAGCAGTAACATCTCCATCCTTCTCTGTTCCTCTCTCCTTTTGGACTTATGTGGTCATTTATAAAGCACAACGAGTTTATCCCCCAAATCAAGAGAGGAAACAATTGTGTATCTTCTTCAGGAAGATTTAACAGTTTTGAAAATAACATTTTTAAGTTTTACATTAATTTTTAATACCTAGATACAGATGATTAAAAAAGGCTTAAAGACCTGAAAAAGGATCAACATTTTTGTAGTTGTAAGTCATTATATCCTAGACTTTACTACACAGTACCATTTATGATTAATACACTCTCTCCTCCCACCCTATCGGTAGGGAATGGAATTGTCTGAGGTATTTATGGGGTAAACTATGCAAGCTCTGCCTTGTCAATGGTTCCTACTGTACCTTCTGAACAATACAACCACAATAATAGATGCAAGCCAAAATATCACATTCAGTGGATTGTGTTATAGTTGGATCTACTGTACTGCACTTCGGAAAAACAAGAAACCCTGTCCTTCCCTTCTACTACTTCTACAATAGTTTGGGAGATGGTCTGTGATGATGCCAAATCTAATTAACCATGTGTAAAGACTGCATTTGTAAGCTAAAGAATTTAGGGATTTTGTGATAGTCTAGCTTCTTACTAGGATAGCTTTATGGCAAACTACCAGGATTTATTTACTCTCAATCTTTCTTTATGGACTAGGAATGTATTTCCTTGACTCTACCACTCTCCACAAAAAAGGAGGGTGCACAGCCTCTTAGACTAGACTCCTAACGTGTCAAGGTTAATTCCTCTGTGCTCTAACATATCTTTTTTGTATCTCATAAAAGGCATAAATGTCACAGCATTTCAGGCAACACACTTGAAGTTCAGAAAACTCCGTAAATGTACTTAAAAACAAAGCCAAGTACTGATTAACTAATGGCAATGCCTGATTAATTCTGAATTTTGATATACATATTAAGGCCTCATGAAGAGAGCCGAGATTATAGAACTAGACAAGAAAACTATGAAATAGTGGCAGCTAATTTCACAAGCATACCCAACTGTCTATCAGGATTAGAGGCCAAGGTATTGGTTTACTTCAAAGCTCTAAAAGCTTAACTTTAAACATCTAGTGTCATACGATGAGTAAAAGCAGATGTAGATGTTCCTTGAAATTCATGTGCATAAAAACTTTTCCAAACTCTGCAAATCATAGGCTGGATTTGCTTAAGTACACATCACTGTCTGACATTTAGTAATAAAAAATAAATAAATAAAAAAAAACCCAGCCATATTTGACTTCAATTCACAGCCTGGAACCAGCTACTACTAATAGTATATCACATTGGATTTAATCTTTGCTAAGTAAGATTTATTAAACTTTGAAAGATGAAACATTAGAACTCAGCTGTCAACCAGGCTGTTGTCTTTGTGCTGATAAGTTAGAAAATTCAGTAGCAATTAGGAACAAATGGCAATTTATAATTCAGTAAGAGGCCTATCTTTGTAAGCGTGCTTTTAAGTCATAACATATTTTCAAAGGCAAACCGAACTAAAACTGCATCTGCAGCAGAAAAATAAATTCAAGGGCAAAAAAGTGCAGCTAAAAATAAGCTCTGGTCTTGGTTTTTCTAATGAAGCAAAGAAATTCTCTACATGTAAAGGTGTGTGCATGTTTGTATGTATACTTGTGTTTGTATGTACACACTGGTATGCAAACACACCCTATATACTACAAGTCTTCAGTTGAAACGGAATTTTTTAGAAGGTAACTGGAAAATATTTAGTGAAATAGAAAATGCCTATTTTTAGAGGCTTATTCGGGAGGTTGTTCTTCAGTACGGGTGTTTTGATAGTTCCGAAAATACGACTGTAAAACTTGCAAGAACTGCAAAACCTGCAAGCCCGGTATGGCACATGAATGCAAACTATAACCTTAAATACACCAACTTGTTATTTTGCCTCAATCATAACATTCCAATTTTCCTAAAAATCCTAACAATTGAAAAAAAATCAATCTTATAAGCCGGAGAACACTTTAGTTATGTATTCTTCCCTTGCTATCTAGAAACTACAAGTGTGAAAAAATCAGTGCTAATAGTAATGTGGCTGTTTGCCCAGAAGAACACAACAAATACTGGTGGTGGTAATTTTTAGTCACTACTATATGCCACATAGGAACCACTGACCGCGAAATATTCTGATATTTATCTTTTTTGGTAGCATACTGAAGTCAGGAGAATGTGTACTGATAAGGATGGCCATGATTTAGTTCATCTTCAGTGGAGGTGTTTTCACGTAGAAAAGGCAATGCTTTTATTTTCCACAACTGTTAAAAACTGTCATACTGTCTTCTTTATTAACCTTACCAGAAATTGTCTTTTCCCACGTATCACTATATTCCATAGGTTTTTCTACATCCACGCCAATTAGTTTGACAATATCTTCAGGTGTATATACATCATCTGTGAAATTAAAGGGAAGTAAATAAATATCTACATGGTAGGAATGAGCAATGGAATACGTCTGTACAGTTGATATGCAATTCCAGCTAACATTAAGTGCAAAACTCACATATATGGCCATCTATATATATATATTTTTTATCAAAGTCCTAACTCCTGTTCCAATAAGAAGAAAACGGTCTTGGTCTAAAGAGTTTGCACTTTAATTTTAAACATTCCTTGGAAAAGCTATAAAGGGAGAATGAACAGATTAAGAGATAACAGATAAGTGAGACCAAGATTCTTTGGAAGATGAGTACAGAGAATGACTTATTTTTTCAGTACACAGAATAAAGCCCCTGTGGATTCTTGTAAAGGGCTAAGTTCTTCTTTTCTCCTAAAATAAAATCGTTAGTTATCTTCAATATTGAATGGCTAAAGCAAATCTGAACCAAATATATACCATATATGGACTCGTGGAGACAAAGTCTGGATAAAATTCAGTTTGCACATAAAGGAATGTCTTACTTAGAAGTAATATAAACACATTTTAATGTCATTTACTTCGTATTTTTTTAAAAAAGATCAACAGAACTATTCCTGGTCCAAAACAACTGTTTCATATACTGACATTTATAGGACAGCCAAACTGTCAAATTCATAGGCCTTCCCTATATAAAATAAGTATACTTACTTTATAAGAACTCTCTGTATGGTAGATTGAACAGATGCATTGCGATTCCATCATGTAGCACTGTTCTCAAAAGAAGACTGGGCAGAAACTTTGCACTCTCTAAAAATATGATCGAGTCTGAGTACTTCTATTCTCTCAGGGGAAAATAACAGTATAGAAGCATTTACTTATTTGCTAAAGATTAATATAATGATACTTGTAATAAGCTGCAAACAGGACACAGGTCCCTTGGTCCCTGCAACCAAGATTTCCAAACGCATCTTTTCCAAAAGCATGGTTTTGATACAACTGCAATCTGTCTTCAGGCGTTTAAAGTGCTTAATTAGATCTTCAGATATGAAAAGCACCAGAGTGCTAATCAATGTCTCACATGAATGGTGTTCAAGGAAGATGATGCATGAGAAGATAAGCATCAGCTTTAAAAAGAAAACTAATCTTGTTCACCATAAGTCATAATTGAAGTATATTTAGTTTATTGATTTCATTCCATAATAAATACATCAACAAAATATAGCCGCACACTGACTAAATCACCCAAGTATCTATTACAAGTCCAATTTAGTTTTGCATCTTACAATGTCTAGAGAAAAGCCTGTCTTTATCTTGCTTCTTACAATCTAGTTTAGAATCATAATCTTTTCTGAGTTATATCAGCTAACAATGAACAAAATGCTGTATACATTCCAGATGGGAAAATAAAGATTTTGCAGAAACTTGCACTGCCATTAGTGAAGTAGTAGTGAAAATAAAGTCTAAGTTTCAAGGATAAAGCTGATCAAGCCACAACACTTGCCTGTTGACAAAATCTCCTCTCTGAATGATTCCATGCACTTCAAAACCACATAAAAGTTTGCTTGTGTTTACACACAAGGTATCTGCACTATTAAACAGCTTGCTCTGTTTATCATAGCCCTTGCTTAATGCTTACTAACGTAACTGTTTTTATAAGCATTTCATCTTATCACGTTCATCCAAACTTGTAACAGAACTAAGAACAGATGTGTTACTTGCATGTGTGTTTGTGTGTTCTTTACTTTCATCTTTCTTCCCGGCAATATTCATGGGGTCTGGAACACCTTACAACTAACCACTGCACCCTTAAAAGCAAGAATACCATTAAAGGGTTAGATCATGTTCAGGGAGGAATTGGAAAAGGCACCCATGATAAGACCAACTGAAATACCTCAATATTTAAGTTCCTCCAGAACTTGGCTATATACCCACAGTTTTAAAATGAAAAAGAAATCAGAATATAAAGTTGATGTCTGTTATGTGGAAAACCATTTGATTCACAGGGGAAATGGAAATGTTGCTGAATAGTAGACATTTAGCAGATCAGGAACAGTTTTTAAACGGTTAAAATTAAATCAAATATTCATTGGGGATGATAAAATAAGTTATGTATACTAAGACAAATAAGAAAAGCCATTCAATTAAACTGAAATTCTAGAAAATATGGCCTAAAACATTGTAGAAAACTAAGAGAAAAGTTAGGCAAGAGGATGCAGCCTCTACCATTTCTCAGTGTCAAGTTTACCACCTGGCACGTCAGCTAACAGCACACTAGCCAGGAGACTGAAAAGCCTGCCAGGAAACCAGCCACAAACCTGTGTGCTGCTGCTGGAAAAAATAAATTCCACAGCTTAGCATCTGGGTCCTGCAGCTGCCAAGCACGCTCTGCATGGGGTAAAATATCTTTGCACTGATGCTAATGAGTGCAATGAGGAAGAAGAACTGGAGCGCATTCAACATCACTACCTGCCCAGCAAGGAAGTAAAAAAACTAAACTGGTCTTTAAATGCCATGGGGCTCTTCAGTAACAGTACTCTTCTTCAGAGAGAGAAAAAATGATGTAATGTCTAAAGGGAAGTCTGAAAACACACTGTTCCTTACAGTCCAGTTAAGGATTCTGATCCGCTTAGAGATCTGGCAGCTAAGCATAGAAAATAACGCACTATTTTCATAGTGGAATAAATAATCTACTTGCTACCCTGCTCCCAGCTGTCCCGGTATCTTAAAATTTTATCATTTCTCTAAGACATCATCTGCTGTAAAACAAACTCTTTTGCCTTTCCTCAGTCAGTAACATTTAGGGCTCCAGGTTAGTGAAATTCTCCTCTTCTCTAAGTTTCTTCTATAGACTTAGAGATTCTATTTGCCATATGTAACGGCACATTGCTTGGGAGGGTCATAAAAGATTTTGCTGCACTTGATTACATGAACTCTCTGTTCCGCAAACTGCTTTATGTGAGCATAGGCAGCCTTGCAGATACAGCCACAATACTGTGATGTTCCTGCACTACACGAAGACTTGGAATTGCATTTACTCATCATCAAGGAAAGAATACAGTGCAGACCTGAAAGAGGTTGCTAAAAGCTGCAGTCCTCTCTCATCATGTCATGAATGTATAAAACTTGTGATTTCAGTACGCTTCTGAGAAGAAAGATGCAGACAGAAAGGTATCAGCAAGTGAACTTATGAGTTCCTTTATCGGCAGCATTAAAAAGTACAAAGAAACAAACAGTAAACAATGAATGCCAGCTCTTCTTTAAGACTCTGGATTCTAGGTTTAACTTAAAGGGCTCACTTGGCAGGATGCAAAATCTAGATAACAGATGTCTTTGGGACATTTCTTTAAATTAGAGGAAAAAAAGGCTTACATAACAGGGCAACGGAAAATATTGTTCGAAGTATCATTTTCCAGAAGAATTCTACAAGAAGGGACCCGTTCACCTGTGATTACCCATAGCATACACAGCAAGGCAACAGCCTTGTGACAATTTTGTGACATCAGCTGCCACAATGAAGCTCCAGTTCTAGCTGGCAATCGGCGCTACAACAAACACACGGAAATGACGACTCAAGGCCACTCTGACTTGCATATTTAAAATGAAATTGCTTAAACAGTACTTCAGCAGTCACCTACAACAATATTAAGCACAATAAACTACGTTTAAAGCAATTTAAATGTCTATTGTTACATTTATATTGCTGATGTAGTTAGTATATGTTCTTTCTTTTTTTTTAATCTAAAATTGCCAAGATGCTGCTGTATGTGAAAACAGAAACGCTTTGTAATTGTGTCTAACACAATTGCATCTGCATGCACAGTTTCACAGTGTGATTTCAAAAGCTACCTATTGCTGGAGACTAGTAAACATATTGGTCATTCATTAGCCATTTTGGTAATCAGATATTAAAAAGCTCACTTATAAGCAGACTGCCAACACAAGTAAATACACCCACTACTACAGTCATTTATCATTTAATACTGTAACTATCTCTGATGTCCTGGAAATGGAAGGGCTCATTTGATTTCCCAGAAGGACTAGGAAGTCAAAGAGCGCTATCTCCAATGAAGACATTCATTGTAATATAGAAGAGCATGCCATGTGCTAAGCAGATTATTTTTAGCCGAACTTAAACATACAAGAATCTTCTCTTCACAGGTCTTGCTGTTTGTTAAAATTAAAATATGGTAGGCTTCTCAAAATTACCTACAGGAATGAGTAGCTCAAATCATAAAGTTAACAATGGGTATGAAATTGCCATAGCTACTTTGGAAATCCTAGTCCCTGGAAACACTACACAGCTTAAAAAAAAAAAAAAAAGGGCATGTGTAGCGTAGACGATACTGTAGTCAGGTTATCCTAACTTGGCTAGCACACATTAAAGTAGCGGAAGTATAGGACAGCAGTACTGTAGTGGCTGAAGAGCCAAAAGCTTATTTTGCATATGGTTATTATTTTAAACTTGCATTATTGATGAAGAACCACAAATTGTGTATTTAATAAATTCATGGTTGTATAAAAAAAATCAGTATGTCTATTGTCATAATAAATGAACGCTGTACGAAATAAAAATGTGGATACTTCCTTCATTGTGAATTAGCACTGACATTATTATTTTGATTGCTTAGAAGAATCAAGTAAAACTGAAAAAGGAGAAGTGATCTTTTCCCCCCTAAGCAAAATAGTTTTTGGATAAATCTTTACCATTAGGGATATATGGTAAACGTGCAAGAGTGCAAAAACGTGTAAATTAAGCATTTCTCACCCTTCTCTTTCATCAACTCAGAACCTCTTCAGCTCTGAAAGTATCCAAGCATCTGATAGTCCCTACATACGTAGGTCCCACATGAACACATCACTCGCACGACTAGCAAGATACCTGCCTTCAAGGCTTTCTCATTAAGCCTTCTGACTTAAACAATAATTTGGTAAGTATGTTCAAAAATTTTTTTCAGTACATTATTCTGGACCTACCATCTGAAAAACATCAATGAATAGTAGTCATGCAATAATCTGCAAGTTTACAGTGATTGAGTGTGAGTATCAGCACTTTACAACAACAAACAAAAAGCTATGCACCAGCTTTTCCAATAGAAACAGAGTTGACAGTGTTTGAAACTGGAATTATTTACCCTTAGACTCAAAATAAAGTGCTGGTAATAAGGCTGGGAAATCTATCCTGTTTATTCACCTGACCATGCACTTACATATACATAGGTTTTCTGTCAGTATTGATTCATGTTCACTGCAGATACTGGATAAAACTTTACATGGAGTATCAATTCAAGCTTGAGGAAGTTAGTTGGGTCTGCAGTTTAGATTCTGTTCATGTTTTACTTCAGAAGCAATTACAATCCAAAAACCATCATGGTGTTAGTAACCAACGCTAGAACCACGGAGCTTGCTTGCGGACCTGGTACGTTACAGTTACTAATCAGGCATGGCTCTGCCATGTAGCCCAATGAATACGTTTTACTATTTTGTGACACTAACAATAGGGCTAGCGCTCTAAAACCGATTTGCTTTCTTCTGCATTCATACACAACATAGTACAATGGTAGCTTCAATCCGCTCTTATGCCCTCACCAGTCAGAAAAACATTAAATAAGCAGCAGTAGCAAGGCCTAAAGAGTGTGACAACATGCTGTATATGTAGGAACAGTTCTAGCAAAACCATTCCATTTTACATTGAGCAGTATGATGTTTGTTTCAGAACACTCCCTGTACAATTAAAAAAGCTGTGCTTCCTGCTAGCATCTAATCAGCTTCATCTGAAGTCATACCAACTATAAATATATGGTTTCTAAAATGAATTTTAAGCGGAGTGGGCATGCACTAAAAAATTATATAGCATGACCACTAACAGTAATTACATACAGTAACCTGAGCAATTAACTTCTATGGTCAAAGACTGAAATATTTTGAAGAGTTTAAGGTGATTTCAAGAAGTATTATTCCTGCCTTTTCAGTGATAAGTTAAAAAAAAAATCTCACCTCTACCTGTTGCTGGCACAATCCATTTTGGCAGTCCAGGAGTTTTTGTTCTAGCCGGTGCTAGTGTGGTCCTACTAAGAGCTGCAAGAAAGTTTAAAAGAAAAGGTTCTATACGCAATATCAACAATTCTATATTAGAGAAGAGAAAGGAACAGGTATTCTGATGACACATACAATTTTTTCCCCTAATTTAGAAAGGCTTTTCCTATAGACTGATTAATTGGAAGAAAAATAGAAAAAACCCTTCTTTTCCAGCAATACTTAAAAGTCCACTAAAATAGATAAAATAATTAAATACAGTAGTAAATTTGCTTCTCCCTAACCTAAATTGAATAATCAATTATTACCTGGTCTGGTCTGTGATTTATCAGATGGCTTTGGTCTTGCAGAAGTGAGACGTGTTTTATGTGGTGCTGAAAGAAATAAACTTTAGATTAAACACTATGCGTAAAAGGAACATCAATAACGCAGTGTAATTTGTCACAAAAAAGGTCCATGCACCAATGCAAAATAGCAAAATGGACACATGAGAATTCTACGAGTTCTAATCCAAAATGCACGCTGAAAATGCTAGTTTCTTAGTGGTCAGATGACTCCAATCATCATGCAGTCTGACCAGTTACATTCATGTTTAGGTTTAGGAAAAGGTAAAAAAAATTTACAGCCAGTTACCCAACTGTATATGGATACAGAGTTAGCTCTGCAAGGTATCCATGGCCTTAAGACATTTAATTAGGGTCTGTAAAAAACAAACAAACAAACACACAAACAAAAAACCTCAAAATAAAACACCAAACTGAACCCCGAAAAATCAAATAGTCAGATAAAAATATGAAATATTGCTGAGCAAACAACTAGAAGCATTCAATGCAGACACAGTACAAGCTGCTGAAATGTAGTGTCAGCATCAAGGTTAAAATTAGAAGCCTTCAGCCTTTACCTAGTGTTGCCCTTGACTTGCCAAATCATTTTAGTATTTTAGGGGTTGCAATACCTGTGTGAATCACACTGAAAGCTGAACACATTAAGAAGTAGTAACTGCCATCTCATGCCAATTTATAAGCCTCTAACTCAGCACTTCTTTCCATAAATACAACTAGTTATTTCATATTTGAAACCAATAACCATTCTAGCAATATCACATAATCCAGCAGAACTTCAAAAGCACAATTTCCCTGTCTGAAGTGTCAGAGAAAACATTTATGCAGGGAGAAATATATTACTAATTTTGATGTTTCTATGTGAGACAAGCTCTACAGATTTAGATTTAGTATTTCAAGGAAAAAGGTGGAAACCAGTTACATTTATGTTTGTAACGCTATACATTTGACAACCAAAGCACACAACACTAATCCTGTTTAAAAGCTTTGTATCATTTGTGAGGCAATACTGGCTAGACTTTGGTTTCCAGAGCAGTGGAATATATAGAAACATTCCATGAGGGCAAAATGTATTTTCATGTTCTATATTTCAAATTGTTTTAAATGAACTCATGAATAGACCATTAAACCATAAATTGTACGGATTCTACTTCAGAACTACAGACACTCGTAACTTAAGAAAATCATACCAATTACCTGTTTTCAACTGTGGAATTTCAGTCGCTAGAGCAGTTTTGGGCTTGGGTGAAAGCTGGTATGTCTCATTGGGAACTGAAAATGAAGATTTTACTGCTTATCAAATGCAAATGATTACTTTCTAAATATCAGAAACCTAATGTAGACAAGAAATTCAAACTATCTTTGTGCAGACTATATACAAAAAGGGTCAGTGCTAGAAACCTGGGTGAAAATTATGATGTAATGCAGATAAAAGGCTAGACTTTTCAAGACTGAGATGCTATACATCATTAGCAAGTCAGACAACAGCAGAAAGGATGATCAGTTATTGCTTTTTTTTGGATGACTGCTCAGCCCTGTGCATGCAGTATTTATTTCTAGAAAGAATTACAAACACAATGGCTGGAAAATTAGAGACAGCAACATTGTGTACATGTGCTGGAATGTGGCTAACAAATGACAAGAGCTAAAGAAATGCTTAAGGTACTTCTGTTGACTAGAAGGTAACTACATTCATATTGCAAAAGCAGAGGAAGAAAAGCTTTATGAAAAATAAGCTGACATAATATTTTCATTACCCAAAGTCATTTTGGACCCATCAACAACATGAACCGTTATAAGGTTAATTGATCCCAGGTGTGTCGTCCTTGGAGCTATGAGAAATAAAAGACTTGTGTGAGAAGTGAAATTAAAGAAGTTGGATTTCATTAAGGATCTGTGTCCTTTGTTTCCTGAAATCCTATCTCCACATCTGCTAAGATAACTTGTACAGACACGAGACAGGCCTGTGTTCTGATTAGTCTGGAGCTCTTTTCGTGCTGCCAGCCAGAAGGTACAAGTGCTCTGCTTGGGTGGTCGGGCCCCCCAACCAACCTCAGAACAAACGCCTAAGGGGGGAGTTCTGATGGCCTCCCACCTTTCTCAAGTTGGGTGTGCTAATTTGCACTGCTCTCAAATTTTTCTAAAAGTTTGTAGTAACTTATTTGTCTTTAAGGTACCCTTCCCTCACTCCAATCTGATTGAACTTAGTCAAAGATTTCTAAGTTACTGCAGGAAACCAAGGGCTTGGCAGGCACAGACACAGACTACATGTCTCTCTTCCTTCAGAAATGAAGCTCAAAATACAGAAGCTGGAAGGAAATCTACTTACTAGCATAGAATGGTGACTAAACAGCACCATTTATTTTGAACAACTTTCCTGACAAACAATAGTTTCTTACGCACATGCATCATTATAATGATTTCACTTTTATAAGGAAAAGAATAATCTTTCAAGTTCTGTTTTCTAAAATTCTTTGCCTAAAACTCATTTTTATTTGAGTCAAAACTACTGCTCATTGCAATGACATGACTGGAAATAGCTCTAATTCAGCTAATGCTTCCGTAAGACCTAAAATCTACTTTGGTTACTTACGGAAGATCTTTCAAAATAATCCTTTAGAAAATAAATCTTTCTGCTGCACTGTTCAGTTCGATTTTCACAGTAAAATATATGTGCAGTTCTTTAAAGAATAGGGTCACTGCTTAAATTCTTTCTGTTATATAAAAAAGGGCTAGAAGTCTAAGAAAAAAAAGAGGGGGGGGATGATAAAACTATTCATCATCCTACCGGACTTGCCCCCCCCCCAAAAAAAAATATATATATAAAAGTAGTTTGAAGTTTAGAGATTAGGAAGAATTCGGAGTTGCTTTTGATGATCATGCTGTCACTCCTTCCCCAATAATTTTTTTGTTTTGCTGCAACCTTCTACCTAGTAATTTTTATGAAAATAGTTGCATACCACCACTTCAGGGTGAGGGCGAAGTATCATACATTCTTCATTGTAACTATGCCTGCCTAGAATCTGCTGTAGTTACTACAGGAAACACTGATGGGGAGAAGATACCTATACTCTTCGCATCTGACTTTTCCTGAACTAGGATTCTGAAACCTGAGTTTCAAGAGTACTTGAGAAATTGAAGAAAATCCTATCCATTTATTTCAAACAATAAATTCCCCAAGAAGAAAAGAACTTAGAGAAGCTGGCTACAGCAATATACTTTTACTAAAACTAAATTCTTCCTATGTTTAATTGCTACTACCCACCAATTAAACAAACAACTCTTAAAAAACCCCAGCCACCTTAACTTCCGTGCTCCATGAAGAGAACTGATGCAATTTTCAGGCATCCTCTTTGATAGATTTCCTTAGTGTATTGATCAGTGATACTAATTTCTCTCTAGATAACATTCGTAACATATGACCACAGTACTGAATGACAGCAGAAAGTATTGCTAAGACACTGTGACAATAACACATTTAAGTTGCAAACTTTAAATTACCGGGTTTAGTCTGTGGTACTTCTGGCCCGACAGATGTTTTAGGTTTGGAAGGAATGAGCAGTGTTTCTTTTGGAGCTGAAAGAAAGGAGAAAGATTATTATTGCATTCTTCAGGAATCATAATCCAAAGCCATGTTTAGCCCACAGAAAGTGCATGCCTGAAACGCCTGTAAAAAAAGACAATAACAATTCCATGGGTTTCTGGAACCTGAAACAAATAACTGTCCAAAACACAGGAAGTTCTAATACTGTGCCATAGAATAAGCTGAGTTAGTGGCTAAAATTCTTGCCCTACCACTTAATTTGGTTGGAGAACTGAGACAGGCTGCTGAACAGAGATGACCTGTAGACAATTTCTGCATTACTTCTAGGATAGAGCTGAGAGTCTTCTGTAGTAGCAGACATGCATGTGTGTAAGCAGAATGAAGAACAGTGGAATGATGCTGCACAAAGTAACACACCAAAGCATGTTTTCTAGAAATTTCATTTTCAATTGAAAATTGAAATTTTCATTGAAAAATGAAGAATACCTGCATCTTAACTTTAAGGAAACTTATTTACCCATTGTTGCCCTTGACTGCTCAGTGGTAGTAGAAGATTTTGTAATAAGTGGTTGGGGGGTTGTTTGATGTATTGCTGTTAGGGAGAAAATGTGAAGAATCTTAGAATGTCAAACTGTAATGGAAACAAAGTAGCATTTGCACTATTTCTAAAACTTTCAAAATATCTCAAACAGAAGAGAAGCAAAATACCTTAAAATCAATTCTTGGTAGAGATATATCAGCTAGTATCTTTCAATTAACTTCTAATATTCCTTTGATAACAAAAATGGGAACGGACACAAGACAATATAAAATTTTAAAACTATTTTTGTTTATTATAGGACATAATATCAGTTTTGGGGAGTACAAGGTTTACGCATATGGTTCAGCACAAAAACAGCTATGAATAACTCCCCTGAAAAGCACAAGAACTGAGGCTAGATGAAAAGAATGATTGAACACAAATACACAAAATTACAAGAATGACTCCATTACCAGGTTTGGTGTGTGGCACTCTTGGCTTTGCAGATGTTTTTAGTTTGGTAGGAATGAACTGTTTTTCAGTTGAAACTGAAAAAAAAAAAGAAAAAAAAAAAGAAAAACACCCCACTGCAACCGGAACAATAAATGCCAAGTTATTTGGAAGGAAAAAAACAAACAAACAAACCAAACAACCCAACACATCATATTCACAGTACACAGGGAACATCAGTTTGATCTGATCTGCAATAAGGCAAATTATGCAAGGGTAAAGCTGAAAAATCAATCATTTGGAATTCCTGCAGAGGAAGAAAAAGAAATTAAATGGTCACTGACATGGACAGAATTTCCAAAAATTACATACAGATTTGTAGCTTTGGATGAAGCACTGAAGAATACTGTCATAAACAGCATACAGTAAAGTAATGGGACAAAAAAAATTGGCAGTAATGGCCTCCACCTTGCACATCTTCCATATGTGAATATCTGAGGACAGTATCTATTTTTCAATGGGTCCTTTAGATCAGACTTGACCTATAAATTAACTTTCTAACTAATCAATCCTGGAATCTCAATTCTTCCATTATAATTCTGATACTGCCATGTAGTATCATTTACTCGAAAAGGTATTTTAGCATTTATAGGAAACACTTGTGAGTCCATGATGCATGCCAGTGTAAAAGATCCTCCAAAAAAGAAGAAAAAAAATAATCAAATTCTTGCAGTCTATCTTAGTCTGTACATTTTTCATCACCTGTGTTCTGAAGAATCATTTCTGCATATGAATATTACAGCAAGTAGCTCCAGATGTGTAAGGCAGGGCACATAAAGTGCACAAAGTTATGTAACTAGATCTCAAGAGAAAACTAATGCAAGTGTCAAGGCATACAGGGAATATATATTAAACTGTTAATATGATGAAAAGTATTTTTCATTTCCTATTTCTGAAAGAAAAAAGCATAGTTCAAAGATTATTGCATGGCTATTAATACTTCATTAATATTCCATTCATGACACCACTTCATTCTTAGAAAACCATGGCCAGGGTCTGCCTCTGAAACTCCAACATAGAACCAATTAATAACAAAGATGGCTGGAGCAATCTGCTGGCTCCTGCTGGCCAATACTACTTGGATTCATTCAGAAACTCTTATCTGGGCCAGATCTGAAATTTAAGTTAAGAAGAAAGAATTCTGAGGGTAATGTTTCAGCTATTTATGCAACTTTTCCCAACAGAAATAACTAGAAGTTAACAGAGAAGACTGTTTTAAGAGCTGGTATTTGATTTGGAGGGTCACATAGTTGGTCTGTTTTGGTATACATTATGCTGTACTTGAGATTTTATCATTTTCTTGCAATTTCCTTTGGTAAAATTATGTAACAGGATCAGAGCCCAGTGCGAGAAATAAATTTCAACACAAACTCCCTGCTAATCATTTTTGGAAGAGTGAAGTAGCACAACACATTAGTGTAACAGTATCTATATTCCAGATGCAGAATTCAGAGGAATCACTATCTGCTCTTTAAATAAAGTTCCCTTTTACTGAAAAATATATAACAGCTCAAGGAATTGGGTCATCGCCTGACTGGAATAGCTAGAAAATGAGGAGACGAACTTCCAAGAGGGAATCTGCACACGCATTATTATCCTTACCTACTAGGCCAAAGGACAACCAGGTATCTAGAAGCCGAGCAACACTTCCTTATCAGTTTTTATTATCATTTAATAAAGTCCTTCTAAGAATATCTTCTCTAACAAGAATGTAAAAATTAAGTAATTATTTATGAAATACACATGATTACCCAGTGTTGCCTTTGTTCGTTCAGGAATATGAGGAATCATAGTAGTAACTGGTTCATGGAAAGGTGGAATGATTTCTGTTGGAAAAAATGTGGATAAATCCTCAGAAAAAAATGAAGAGATACCACCCCCCCACCCGCCCTCCCTCAGAAACACTTCAACACCATACTAGATCCAGCAGGAAAAGAGTATTTTAAAACAGCAGTTTGCATTTGCCCTCAGAGATTTATGTTCCAATTTTTGTTTTTAACATCCAGACACTTAAAAAAAAACAAAAAAAACCCTTCAGTGAAATCACCAGTTCTCTTGCACAGATTGGTCAGATGTATTCAAATTAGAACAGTCCCATGATACAACAGAAGAGATTCCTCAGTCTAACTTGACTGAAAACACGTGACAAAGAAAAGACACTGCAACAGCCCTAAGAGGCTTCTCTCCAAAGGGCTTCAAAGACATGCTGTAAACAACTGAAGCATGTTGCTCAAATACAATCTGTGAATACCTTTTGAGAATTGATTTACACATACAGGTCACTACTATTTGTTTTTCTGGTAATATCAGCATAATACCAAAATGACTTAAACTGCTATAGTTTTTATCAGAGGTATTACTTAAATGCAACACTGCTGAGGTTTCTTAAGCTAGCAAACAGGTAACAGCAACTTTACTATTGACAACCTTTTTTCCTAGAAAGCAGTTGCTGAATTATCAACCTTAGTTTGACAAAAGGCAAGATAATTTACCAGTCTTGGTGTATGAAGCATCTGGGATGGGAGCTGCTTTAAGTTTAAAGGGAGTATGTAGTGGTTCTTTAGAAGCTGAAACAAAAGATTCGTTATAAGGGATATACACTCTTCAGAAATTAGTCAGGTTTATTGCATAGGCACTGCATATCTTGTGCCTAAAAGGGAGAAATAAGTTTTTTATGTGCATAATTGCAAAATTTGAAGTCTGCATACAGGAATTTAAAGGGAATAAACAGCCATGAATGAAAAAATGGGTGGAAAAGTGATCAAATAAGCAAAATCTCATCTGGAGACAAGCAACAAAAACTGAAAGAACATAGACAGTTATAGCTGAGGTGTTTCCATCTGTACTTCAGAGCTGACAACTGCAATACCCATGTATGCTCATCTCCTGTAAGCATCAAAGAAGCTACAGTGTATGTGAGAATGAAAGAGGTATTTTCTGCAAAGACAACCAAACAGCTAAGAATCTTTCAATACCTGGAAAAGAGCAGAATTAAGCTGAGTAAGTTTAAAAAACAAACACACACAAAAATCAAAAACCAAACAGATGACACAAAAAACAGACGAATCTATAATCTTTGATCTAAGGAGCAGTAGGGGAGAAATAATAATGACCAGCCCAAGGTAATGTTTTTACCTATTACTGCTTTTGGTTTTTCAACTGTAAATGTTATAGGTGCCAAAACTGCATAAAAAACAAGAACATGCAAAGAATTAGTGATAAGTATCATCAAAAGGGCAGAAAAACTCCCTTTTACATGACCAATTTCTTTCCAAATGAGGACGCATACTGTAAAGTCCCTTTTAAGTATTTGTTGGTGGAATCCATTAACATACATGCATTCTAAAGGAGAGTCCAACTGATGCCTTCCAAATCACCAGGAGTTACAGAGGGTGGCAGTTCACTAACATGTAAATCCCTATGGAGTCTATTTTTAATGGTCTTATTATTCCATTACCAAGGCACACTTGAACAGATATGAGTGTGGTGTGAGTTACAGAGATTTAGAGTCACACATGAAGGCCCTCAAAGATGGTTTTCTCTAAGCATCTTTTGATAGGCATGAAAGAGATGCCGTTTCTTCCAAGAACATTGTTGTAACATTTGTATACAGTTTACACTGCTATGCAGATAAGCCATCAGTGACAACTGTCATGGGGCTGAAAAGCACACACATAGAACTCTCCGAAACTCAGCCATTAAAAATATAAACATGTCCAATCTTTAAACGTGTATATAATCTTTGTTAGAAAATCTATTTGCTTGTAATATTAAAAGTTACTCAACACTTGATTCACTGAGGAAAGACAACCCAAGAAAAAACCTGACTATTCAAGCCCAACAAAATAACAATATATTTACCAGGTTTTGTCTGTGATGCATCTGGACTTGGTGATGCTTTGGGCTTGGAGGAGTCTCGTCGACTCTCTTTTGGACCTGGAAAGATGAGCAAAGTTTTGCACATAGGAGTGAGGATGATGGTTAAACATAAGTCTTTGGATTTTCCTGACAAGAGACTCATTTTCTCAAGGAAAATTTTTATTTTTTAGAAATTATTTTTTCCATTTTAAAGTAATCGGAAAGAGGTTTCATGCCAATGGGATCAATAGTATGTTAGTGCATAGGCTAAAAATAAGCTGACTGTGACACTGCAGCGTTGGATTAACTCTCCACCCTTCTATCAAACAGAGCTTGTAAACTGCTGTAGTTCTAACAGGTCACCTAGTTGTTGTTCTCATACGTTCCAAATTTCAAGTATCTGCTGCTCTTTCAACATTGCATTACAAAAAAATCTTCAACAAAGCAGTGAAGCAGAAGGAATGTGGAAATTTACCACTCACTTTCAATTGGACAGAGCTATTCCAAAGCGGAGTTTTGGGAACAGGAAAGTACTATAATTTGACACTTGTGAATAAATATCTGGAAAACGTAAGCACCTCTTTCACATTCTCTGGAAATTGAGACAAGCGTTTTCCAGTGTGCAAGGGCTCAAAATGAGAGAGTTAACTCCTCCCCTCCCTAACCATTATACAAGTTATTGACATGTATAAATATCTAGCCACATTATCTTGTTTCATGACAGATATAGGGCAGAATTTCACTGTAATAGTAAAATACCACCTATTCAGTAAGTATCTGTATACATTCAAAGAGCTCAACAATTTTGACTGTTTTCAATAGGATCACCTTTCAGGCACTAAAGGACAATAATGAGAAGCTTACTTGCTCTGGTTGGAGGAACACGTGGACTAGGTGATGTTTTAGGTTTGGAAGGCCCACGACGCGTCTCTCTAAGAGCTGAGAGAAAGAAACTGGGTTAACCAGTACTAACATTTTCCTAGGGATCAGTGTCCACTACCATCAGTAACAAAGCTAACTAATACAAACACAAAATAAAGACTTGAACCAAAGGTATTTGTGTGGAAGTGATACAAAGGAGAAGTTTCTCAGGAACAAAATTAGTCTGTGGAGAAAAAAAACAATCTTGTGTGAGAAACTAAGCATGTGAGAGAATTCCTGGTTCTGTTTAGCATGGGGGAAAAAGAAAATAATAATTTCAAATACGAAGACATCACTGCATGACAATGGAGGCTATATTGGAATGATTCAAAATACCACATATAACAGTCAAATGGGCACATACTCAAGGATACATAGCATCCAATGATCACTGAACTGATTCTGTTTTGAGAGTAGAATCGCAGTTTAAATGAAATGGAGTTACTTTTCAGACCCTCTATGAAGGACTGAATCTCATTTATTGAAACTGGAGGGGAAGGGAAAGGGAAAAAGAATATTTGCAGCGTGCAAGCTCTATTCACCCAAACCATGTGACTATCTAAAAGGGTGCCCCCTCTAGAGCATGACTGAGAATGTGCAAGTTAGGATCCTGTTTTGATCCACCCTCTGTCTCTTATCATTGAATAGTGAAGGAAATTAGCCTACGTTAAGTGCATAAAAGCTTGGAAAGTAAAAGGATCCTCCTCAATTCTTATGATGCAAACTGAAAGAGCAACAGATAATCTTGAGTGTTAAATTATTAAGGCACATACAAAGAAAGGTGACAAATCTTCACAGGTCTACTCTTAATGGCTTGTGTTGAAGGAGAAAGACAGTTATGACCATCCAAATAAGAAAGTGTCATTACCTACTGTTGACTTTGGTTTCTCAGTTCTAAACGTAAATGGATCCAAGACTGCACAAAATTAATAAAAACCAAATCAACTAATTGCAAAAACAATCAAAATATTACAACCACTACCTCCACAAAGACAATGCTATCCCTACTGCAGCCAATGAGCTATGGTGACTCCCCCGTGAAATTCAATACATGACAGAGCATTATGCAACTTTAAACTCTCTAGCTCAAGGCAATAGCTTTAACATGGAACAGAGCCCAAATATAAATCTGGAGCTTTTGTAAAAAGCCCCCAAGAAACTGTTGGTGGTTTTTCCCTTCAACTTTGTACGCTTTCCTGGCTTATTTCAAGCTTTTGAATCAAAAACCAGGCGCAGCTTTATGAGGGGAGAAAGGAACCTTAGTGAGCCATCATCTTCCTGTCCATTTTCCGCAGCAGCACCACCTCATGTTGCATATACCGTGGGTACTTCATGCTAGAATGAGCTGTACAACTTCCTCCATCATCAATTAGTCCAGCACTGTACATTGCTCTATACTGAGCTCTGTAGGTAACATTACAGAAAGTACTGCACATTCTCAAATCTCTGAACAATGCAAGAGCTCTGCAAAACTGGCTGAAAAGAATTACTGAATAATTGTAGCGGGG